CGCCACGCCACTCACCATTTCGTTGGACGTCACGTACTCGTGTCGTTTGTCACGAGCAGCGCCGCCTTTCCTCTCGCGACGGCAGTCCATCGATTCCCGCGGACATGACAGGTAATTGACAAAACCTCACCCGGTGGTGGTTGTGTGTCGCGGCACTGTGACAGTGTCATGCTGGAGCTTCATCACGGCTTGTCTGTCCGAGTCGGGGCACGGTACTGTTGCTGGCACACCTCGACCGGACCGGCGGCGGACCGCCGTGTGTCGCGGCACCGTGACAGTGTCACGCTAGAACTTCATCACGGCTTGTCTGTCCGAGTCGGGACGCGGTACTGTGCTGGCACGCCTCGCCCGGTGTGTGTCGCGGCACTGTCACAGTATCATTCGGGAGCTTCGCCCGCTTCTCCCGCTTCGTCACTGCTTACTGCTTTATCCGAGCCGAGGCACAGTGTTGGCTATACGGACATGAGCCCGCCTGGATTTGAGCCCGAACCACTGTAGGCCTGACCAGTACCCGATATGGACCTAGTTCCGAGCCTGACTCGTCAGATTTGGTCCTGGCTACGTCTAGCTTGGCTCATATCGGACACTGCTTGGGCCCAGAGTGGTTCGGGCTCAACTCCAGAACTCCAGGCGGGCTCATGTCCCTATTGCCACAGTGTTCGCGCGTCATATGCCGCGTGTCGGTGCGCCGAAAGGAGCACTGCCGGTGGAGCTCCATGTTATCCAGAGTGTGCGGTTCGGACGGATCGGTGCCGGTCAAATAATGCGGTGTTTCGCTACAGTGGCATGCTGTCGACTTGGTGGTGTCCAGCCCGGTGGTGTTCCCGCTCTGGTACGTCGTCGGTGGCCGGTGTTGCCGGAGCCTGTGCTTGTGCCGTGCCGGGGCACGCGTGGTGAAAGTTATGATGACGCCCAGCACGGCAAGGCGAGGACAGTTCGCCGCGCCGCAGTGCCCCGCCACGCCACGCCCTCCCCTCGACCTTTTGCACGCAAAACCGCGCCGCCGGCCCCGGACGTTCTAGGACGCGCCGACCGCCTTGGAGGCTAACCTACGATAGGCCAGAGTCCAAGAAAGAAGGCACACTGCATCCCATCTCATTATTGTCTCACTTAATCAAAAGGTCAAAAGTTCCAGGAAGCTAAGCAGTATCTACCGCCTGTCCGGTTGGCTGTTCCGCCCCGCCCAGCTGCTAGAGTGTATCGTACGGTGGCCTACCCCGCGCCTGCCAGCCCGCCTGCTGGTTAGGCAGTCCCGCCCAGCAGGCGTGTCTCGCACGGTGGCC